GAGTATGAAAGGGATACATTATGAATATAAGTAATAAAGCGAAGAGAAATTCACGAACAGCAATATTCAATTTATGACAAATGGTTATGTCGTCTCACGGTCAACTTATACATAAACAAAACCCAAATGAAAATTGATTTGTAATAAATGAGAATATTTAATATACAATGTCCCGTAGGTATTGTACTCGTGTTCTATTGATGCTGCATTTAAGATTGATTATGAATGTAAATGAGGTGAAGATGACCGATGATAATCCTAATGTGTTATTATTGTAATCTTAACAGATGAATTCCATTAGAACTTATGTATTAATACCTAGAGTTTATTCTTATATCATAAATGAAAATGCTAAGATATCCAATATTTATTCTTTGTATGAACCAAACTGTAAAAATGAAAACAGATACTAAATTTATTTTCTAATGAATTTTATGTTGAATAATAGAACATGTATTTAACCTAGTCGAGCTTCAACACAATTTCCTTGATTTAAAGCTTATGCAAGCATAATTCCATCATATGTAATATCAGTAAATCTATTTCTTTTTTGAATAGTTAAATAAATCATTAAACATTAATAAATTTAATGAGATATTTAATATATTAATTTTTTGTAATAAACATTTTATATTCAATGTAATTAGGTTTGATTATTATTGATTGTTGTAGCTATTTTTGTCCCTGATAATTTCTCTTGGGGCTGTTTATGACTTATTAAATGATAAAAAAATCTTCTTAATTCTCGTGAAAATAAATTTGAACTTAATATTCGTAGTGTATGTATAAGAAAATTATAAAGTACAGCTTGATATGCATCTAAATTTGTACATGTAAAAAGTATGAATTGAAAAATAAATTTCCATCACGTTTTGTTCTATGTGTTGTTGTTGATGTTGGTACAATACGTCGTTAATACACCAAATATTAACATTAATAATGCAGGAAGAATAATATAAACCTCTGAATAAATACAATCATTGATAATTTGAGATATTCTTGTTGGTGTTTCACATTGTGTGCCTTATCATTATAATACTCATATATCGAGCTATATGAATATGACAGAATTATCTACGATTAGCATCAGGTAAATTTGATATTAATCGATCTAATGAAGCAAGAACCATACACCATGGAGAAAATGTTAAAATGTATTCACGAAATTTATAGAAGCTTATATTTGTTGTTGTTGGATCAATATTAAATACATCAGCTAAAGAACAAATATTTTTCTTGTGAATACTATTCTATTTAAAGTTACACTTATAATACACCTAGACAATAACGAGAAACAAACCGATTGAAAAATAGAAGAATACTAATTGTTACGTTCATTTTATAAATGTTAAAAAACGTAATAATAATTGCTTCGAATTATGATTATATGTTAGAATCTATCGTGCGTGTAGAAAAGAAAATGCCATTACTCGTTTAAAATTAATGCAAGTAATCTAAATTGTTTTATGAAAAAAAGAAATAGAAGATGAGTGACATTAATGTTTTTCATCTTTATCATCAAATAGATTCGTAAACAACATTCAAGTTTGTTGGTATTCTTAAGTAAAATAGTTGTCAAATACAAATAAAAAAATTCATTGCTAATGAATATAACTTAGTAGTATAGACAAAAATAAAATCAAAGAATTATCTTTTCTTTCTATTATGTACTTCCTTGAAAAACATTTCTAATCAATTTATTTCATTAATATGAATACTAAAAAATTAAACTTTATATGAAATAGTTCAAATGTCATTCAAATTATTTTGTACTTCGATTAACAATAAATGTGTTTAATCAATCATTATTTATTCTCTTGAAAAGATGTTACACTTAAATACTTTAAATTGCATTTTCGTACTACGTCATGTTATCTATATAGTTCTAATAAAACACTCTCTCGCCCATTACCTCCATATCTTTATAATGATAATTCTGTTTATCAACTAGAACCTAAATATATTTTTCGAAACAATTGGATTTATGCTGATCGTTGTGATATATTACAAAAATGAGGTGATTATATATAAATCACTATTGCTGGTTATCCTATATTTATATATCGTAGTCCTTTAACAAATGAATTAATTGCTTTTCATAATGTTTGTTCTCATCGAACCGGCTCAATTGTACTAAGAAATTCGAATAATTATAGTTAAAAGCAACATCATATTTTAATTATAAATTTCAAGGAGAAGAAAAAAAATGTTTAAATCTAAAGAAAAAACATCAATTAATACACTGTTATGTGATTTATTAAATGATATGATATCTTTTCTTCTTAATAAATATATTCATTTTAATAGTCAGTATCATTTAATTAATTGGAGTTGGAAAACTTATGTTGAAAATTATCAAGAAGGATATCATATTCATGGTGTATATCCAGAACTTAATAAAGCTATTCAATCAAAACAATATTTAGTTACAAATACAAAATAATACATATTCAATTCATTACGCTCCTTCACGTAATACAGAAAATGATCAAGAAAATTTCTTTGGTTTTATATTTATCCTAATTTAGCAATCAATTTATATGAAAAAGGTTATAGTATTGAACATATTCTTCCAATTGA